GATAGATAGATAGATAGATAGATAGATAGATAGATAGATAGATAGAAAGAAAGAAATCTGGGGAATGAATTTGGAGAGAAAATAAAGGAAAAAAGTCAAAAAAGAGGAAGAAGTCCTTTGAGGTTTAGCAGGTTGTAAATCCAGAAACCAGCCATAAACAAGGTGATATGGAACCACTTTACTTTTGGACTGGGTCGTAAATGAGAGTATCTGCAGGTTCATCAGGTCCAGATTGGATTCAAGCAAGTTATTTAGGAAACTGCATGGTTGCTTCTGTAATGCCAGTGGCACAGATGTGTCCCATAACGCATTGAGCTTTTCATGAAAAAAAGAATCATAAATAATGGATTTTTGTTGTTTGTTTCATGCAGAAACGGAGACTGGCCCAGTCTGAATTAATATTGTCTGTGTGATGTTGTTTGGTGACATGTTGAAATTGCAAACAAAATAAATAAATAAAATAAAATATGTGATCGTTTTTCATCAGAGGAGTCAGAAAGTAAAACAGAGGCTTTTACAGCTGCAGGTTATCCTGGGCACTCAAAGGCAAAAGGTAAAAGTGCAATAAGTCCATTGTCTCAGCTTTGGTCATCCCTATAAAAGAGCCATCATATTTTTTTTAAATTTTTTAAAACCTATTTCATGCTGAAGCTTTGCTTAAGCCCACAGGGAAAACACCAGCACTTAATATTTTATGAATTCCCAGTAAAAAGGGATAATGAGACTTTCTCCTCAAATTTGATCAGAACTCTGAAGCTCAGTGGTGGGTTGAGATAATAATATACCATTAAAGGAGAGGTTAAAACATTAATTTCTGTCTTCCTGCAAGACAGAAATCTAAAAGTTCATTAAAAGTTGGTGAACTTTTAGTGAAAATCTGTGGTGGAGAAATAGTTTTAGTATGTCTAAAGCAGGACGAGATCATAAATAGATTATGAAAATTGACATTATTCTGGTAGTTAGGTTTTTGAACCATTGACAGAATAGAATAGAATAGAATAGAATAGAATAGAATAGAATAAAAACAGCAGCAACTGATGTAAAGGTTCACACCAGAAGCTGCCAGTTTAAAAGGATTCACTAGTTTCAATAAGAAACCAATAAATAAAGCTCAATTGTTTCTTTTAAGCCATAAATATCAGACTTTTAAGAGTTGGAACAAACATTACAGTTGTTAGTGTAATGTTTGTACATTACATTACATCCTGTTCAGTCGTTTTTCTGAGATTTTAGTTGAACCTGATTTAACGGTAGTGTCCTCACAGTATCAATTATTTTTTTCATCTTTATCTTTAATGAAATGACAAAAGAGAGACCAAAACAAACATGTGATGATGAAACCTACCAGTTGATTTTCCTGCTCCTCACTATGAACTAAGTCAATTTCTCTGAAGTTCCTCCAGATAATGATGGGTGAATTTCAGCTACAGCAACCTCTGCTGGACTCATTTTATTCTTCTGGATTGCTGCTGTTAGTTTTCTTCAGCTCTGACAGCTTTTTGGCCAAAGCTTGACTTCCTGACTAATCTCCAGCCTGTTCTTCCATCTACTAGGGATAGAAAGCATTAGACGCCACAGGGTTTTGTTGTAAAATGCTTGAAGGAAACTCATCCTTATCTGTCTTTATTCAGCGAGAGGCAAACATTCTAAAAGTAATTATTCATAATTTCCCCATTCCTAAACTTATAATCACTAATTGTGCAAACCTCTTTATTTCTTCTCCTTTAACAATACTTTTACAAAATTACAAAAACTACAAAAAATCTTTGACCAGTTACAGAAAATACAAGTTAGAAACTCAATATTTTGGCTGGTACATTTGTATGTGAGGAGTTTGGACAACAGATGTTGAGATTTTCTACTGATGGATGAAATAAAATCAGATGATAACACGGACACCAGTACTCTGCCTTTGCTCCAGCATCTCTTTCTCTGCCTGATCCCCTCTCCTCCTCCTCCTGCCCTGTCCTCTGTCAATCTGTTTTTCTGTCTGGAGGTCCAGGGGTTAAGTTGTCCCCAGCATGTGTTAGTGCTCAGGTCAACAGCAGCTGGGACCTGCGATGACAGAGTGTGTGAATGCAGGGGGGCTGTCAGGGGTTAAGTGTGTGTACAGGGGTAAAGCTGGAGGACGTGTCCCTGTACTTCCTTCCACCTGGTGCAGACGCAGAACCGGAATGAGGATTCAATGCGGTTGAGGAGAACAAATAAATAAAGACAGGAAGAGGTGCCTTAAGGTAATGTTCATTTAGATATGACAAAACCAGAAAATGAAGACAAATCAATTCTGTATGTTTTAAATTAAACTTAGTCATATTGCCACTTTAAAGAGGAGGGTGCGTGATGATGATTTTCCCGTGTAAATGTGAGAGTTGCTGTGCCCAGGAAGGAGACCAGAACATCTGGGCTAAATCCACACAAGCAGAGAGAGAAACCGTCCAAGCAGCAGCTGGTCAGAAACGTATGGAGAAACCTGGGCCATCAGAACCAGTCATCACACACATCCAACATGGTGGGAATGACAGAGGCAGCTGCTAGCCTCATTTGGAGGTCATGTCGGATCACAACACTGAGAGAAAAACAAATTCTTTAACCCGGGGGCCTGTCTGCTGCGATGTGAAACACTGGATCGCTTGGCGCGACGCGGCTGTGAGAGCTTCCCGGACTATCTGGCTGGCTGAGAACAAAAGCCAGAGTGTGTCAGGCTTTTCATATCAAATATTTTGTTTCTCTGATTTCTGCAGAGAGTTCTGCAGATTCAAATCTGTCTTCTTGTTGCAGCAACACAATGAGTACAATAACAAAGTGTCAAAAACTGATCTGAATATTTTGAATATTGGTGGAACTCGATTTAAATTTTTAATCAAGTGGATCGTCAGTAATGAATTAATCGAAACTTAATCGAAAACCATACATCGACAAAGTACGCAACAGTTTGAATTCAAAAGCCCCTTACACAGCTAAATCATTAGATTTACAGGCACATGAACATGAGAACAAAGATGTTTATTGTTGGGGAAGTATTTTAGGCTTGAAGGGCTTTACTAATAGGCTATCTCCTTTTAGCAAATAACAGTAGTCTTTTTAATATTTTTCAAGTAAAAATTAACCCCAAGAAGGCCCAGAAACGTTTGTCACTTTTCTGTTACATAAACGTAAACTTGTAGTTAGCTAAACTGCTGGGTTCTTAACTGGAACTGCCTTCTTCAGTCAGATAAAAATAAGATTAAGCTTTAAGCAATAAATGCTCCTGTTGAGTTTGATTTGAACCAAAAGATTTTTGGAAAATCACCGTTGAGCCTGTGAAGGAGCAACGGGAAGAGAGAGAGTGTGCATGAGCTCTTTCACATACCTGGTGATTTTAAATATTCCAGGAAAATGAAAATGTATTTTCCTCTGGGTCTTTCAACAGGATAATGACCCAAAACACCTTGCCAACACTCTTCCCCTGGCCATAGAAAAGCTGCTGGGTGAGTTGAAGAGAGGAGAGGAAAAAGGCAGGACTCAGGATCTCCAGAGATTGTCTGCAGATCCCTCTGTAAGCCTTCATACCAATACAAAAGTGTAGAAGGGGTACCAACAAGTGTGCCTGCAGCAAAACAAGGATTATTTTCTCAACCTGGGATTGTTTCCTAGCTGAATGAAATAAACTCGAACAAAAAGATGTATTTTTCAGCAATTTTTCAATCTGAGATTATGGCACTGGAATACAATGTACTGCGAAAATATTTACACGTTGTTGAAGGGGTGCCAACACATCTGTCTGTTTGTTTACATCTCAGACATACAAACTCAGACAGTGATAAATCAGTCAAGCAAACAGTAAATAGCTCATAGAGTTTACCAACTACAATTTGTTTTTCTTTGTGGAATTTCCTAAAAAATAAAAAAAAATACACACAAATGTACGAAACAGCCTTTGGGACAGAGCATGTGTTGTTTCACAATATTGATATTAAGATCTAATGAAAGGGGAAATTTAGTTTGTTTGATTTGGATTTGTGTCTAAAATATTTATCATCACGTGGCGGTTTGAGACGTCATTAAAATACGTCTCAAACCACCCGGGGGTGCATTAATGAAATAATGGGCTTCTCAGTGCAGGGAAGTGTTCATTAATTAAAATAATGTCTCAATTTAGGAACCCAACAGGTGTGATTTGTCTTCATCTTTAATGGTATGGACTGATTAAGAAAGCAAATAGTGTTGTGTGTGTGTGTGTGTGTGTGTCTACTGGGCGATCTGAGCATTGCTGCTTGTGCTTTTCCAGTGCGTGTGTGTGCCTCAAGTGTTCTCACATTAGCTGAATTACTCAGGCTCAGCAAACAGAGCTGACAAGACTATGAGTGATCCTCGGCGTTGTTATTGACTCAGACTTTATTTATAGAGTGTGTGGTCCTGCTGCACAAGCTGCGCGCGGCGGCGCCGCCCCTCCGAGGCCGGCCGGCCGGCGAGCAGACGCGATTAATCAGAAGAATGTTATAATTAGGCTGAACACCCTAGGGCTGCATGAGCACATGCGCTCACAGAAACAACACTATAAGTGAATAGAAAGTATGAATGCATGTGGAGCACAAACACACACAGAGGGGACCTTGTGGATGTGAGCACTGTGCATGGGGCTTTTGGGGAGTTTCGGAGGGTGGCTGTTTGTACAATATGCTTTAAGGCTTGCTCTCTGCATCGAAAGGCTGCTAAACAAAAGTTAGTTTGTTACAGTAAGTATGGGGAGAGGGGTATTAATAAACAGCAATGCAGATGTCTGCATCTGTGGGAAAGCCTGCTGTGTTCCGTGTCAACTCCAATGTCTGCTGATCCACAGGCCTATTTTGGTTTGAAAGCTTCACATTAGCCGCCTTCAAAAGTACACATTTATCTCTGAGTGCACTTTCATTCGTCCTTACAGGGGAATCTCATTCGCTCGCCTTTCTTCTTCCTCTGCTGCAGCAGGAAACGAAAATAGCACAAAGCATCCATTTAGCAAAGAAGATCAAAACATCAGCTATTTTCAGGGGTTTTCTTTTATTATAAATAGAAATTATAATGCTTTTGTACACATGACATGACGTCACATCGCTTTGTCAAGTAATACAAAAAATATATATCATGGGAATGAAAAGGCTGCATCAGTCTGTGCAGACTGAAGGACAAAAACAAAAGCGCTTCTGGAAGTTTTATGGTTGAAGTACTTTTGAAGCCGCCAGTTTGTTGGACCGCGGTGAATAGTTTTCTATAACACTGCTGTCACACACCACATAATAACAATAGATATGTACAGCTCTGCTTAAAAATGTGCATCAACTTATCAGGAGATGAATATCATTTTAGTTTGGGGTTTTTTTCGTGATCCAGTTTAATCTTTTTTTTTTTTTTTTTTTGTTTTTTTCAGGAAAGAAATATTTCTCTTAATGGGATGCAGAGAAACCAAACACTTTTTATACCCACCAAAAAACTCCCCGCTTACATGAGGCTGAATATTTGGCCACTCTTCTAATTCTGCTTAATTTCATAGCACAATCAAGTCACTACGCTACCTTCAGCTCTTATGAAAATGGAGTATAGAAATTTGACTTTGTGTTATAACTGATTCTGACACCTTAAAATGGGTCTCCGTCTCTTCAAGAAGCTCCAACTCTTTCCGACACTGCTTTCAGTATGACATCACTGCAATACTTCTCCATGATGTTAACAACCAGTCTTAGCTCAGCAGACGTGCTGTTACACCAGGTGTTTGCTAATTGTTGCTGCCGCTAGTCTGAAGGAGTATTAGAAATTTTTTTTTAGAGTTGTTTAGACTTTCCCAAATGGCTGCCATAGGAGATTCAAGGATTTGTTAAAAATGCATGACAGAATCAAAGCAATTTTGGGGAGGTATGCTGATATTACATAAGAGACCCCCCTTTAAAAACAAAGGTATCATTGTCCTGTTGTTTGTGTCCAAGTTTCACTTGTTTGGTAACTATTTGGTATCAAAGCATGGTGATGTCATCATTATGAGGTACTGTTATTATTCCAGTGGTAGCAGTGGATACCACAAACTGGGTGGAGTAATGAATATGCACGGTTATTCCTGGAGTCTAAAAATTTCCTTCAATTCAAACACTCAATGAAAGTTTGACACAACAGGGCAATGAAATTAAACAAACATCCCATTGGCTTCTGAATAAAGGCAGCAAATACTAGGCTTGTGTGATGGTGCTGCCTTAAGTCCAGAGAAAGTATGAACTACGATGAAAAGCCGAGTCTGCGCCAACTTAAATGACCATTACCATTAGAAGAGTGGTCAAGTTCCCAGTCTGTGTTGTAGCTGGAAGTAGAAGATATTTCTCTGGTTTCTCTGCAACCTGTTATGGGACTATGACCAAATGTTAGGTTGGACATACAACTGGGGCCTTCATGTATATTTTTGACCCAGTTTGGATTGAAGAAAATAAATTCAAAGTAGTGCACCCAGTTCTTGTGAACAGTTCAGTTTCCCAAAATGAATCTGACATTCATATCCACAACAAGTGCATTTGTGAAGCTACAGTAGGCAACTTTACTAAAAATATATTTATTTATACTTATGTTGTTAAAACTGTCACCATGTATCGACAGTAAAATGTGAGTTAAGGCAATCTTAGAAAAATACTGATCTAATCTGCATCCTCGCTGTGTGGCACTACTGCCATCTGCAGAAATACACTGCTTGGTCAGAAACAACTAATCAGAGCCAGGTGAAGGGTCTTAGAGCTGTCAATCATGCTCTTCCATCTTGCTCTCTGCTAGGCCACAGCTCTTTCTCCACAGGGGGCCCTCCAATGACAGCGAATAAACAATATTTCTGTAATGTTAGATTGTTTTTCCGCCAGTAGCGCAGCCGCATACACTAGCGAGCTTGACATCGGTAAGATTTTCCTCCTGGCTCTAACTGGTTGTTTCTGACCAAGATGTGTATTTCTGCAGATGGCAGTTGAACCACAGGGAGGAGGCAGAGGAGCTTCATTTTTATCCACAGATCATCTGTCTCATAGTCATGACAAAATGACAGTTTTAACAAATGCATAAAGAATACCTTTTTATAAAAGTTATATGCTGCAGCTTTAAGACTAGGACTTTATGCATCAAATCAAATCTGCATTTATTTCCTTTGCAAACTGCAAGAAAACAAATAGATCAGAAGCAACACAAAGCAATAAACTGAAGAATTTTGGCTTTGTGTTTCTTCCATGTTATCCCTTAGTCCTTTTTGAAACGTTGCTCTTCAGTGTTAGAAGTGTTGCCTATTTGTTTTGGACCCAAAAGCTTTTAAGGCACACGTGTTCAAAATTTGATCCAAGGTATGAATCCAAAGTGTTTCTTAAGACTTCCAGACATGTATCTTATGCATGTATTTGTCTTCAAACAACTTTTAATGGGAGGGTGGTCTCTAAGATATGTGATATTGCACTTTTGGTCAGCTGGGCAAACTGCTGCCTTCAGTCTTTAACTCTTTCTGTTTCTCAAATGTCCCTCAGTCGTGACTTGTGACCCATTGGCTTTCTCTGAGCACTTCGGGACCTTTAAAGGTTTTCTTTTACGCTGTGATCGATCTTGCTTGTCCTCTCCACCCCTCCCCACTATTCTTTAAAGCTACTTCTTTTGCTGCCCTCCACTGCCAGCTCTCTCATCTGTCACTCTCGTCTAAGTCACCCTTTGACCTCCTCCGAGCTGATCTGAAAAACTACAAAAGACTGGGATTTTCGCCTTGGCGTCCAAAAACACCAGCAAGACAGAGGGACGGATGGAAGCAGAGACAGGGAGAGACGGGGGATTTGGGGATGCAGGGGGGACGCTTGACCGAACTCTGCCTGTTGTACAGCTGGAGTGTACATTAGGGCGTCTGATACTGTAGAGAAAAAAAAAAAAGCCCCAGATTCATTAGCTTGTGTTTGTTTTTGTTCTCTCAGGAATTTCTCTCCATGTGTGGGGTGTGGACATCTCAAATGAGTGAATGTAACAAAAATCAACTGAGCCCCTTTCTTTTCCTGCTACGACTGGGATTGACTGATTTGAAGATGATATGTGGAATTTTACAAGTGATGATGCAACGTTCAGCTATGTAAACAGTTCCCATTAAGGTAGGCTGCCGTACAGAGTCGGGTTTGGGGTCTTTCCAAAGATGCCACAAGCAGAGACACTTTGTGATCTTTGCTAATGTCAGTGGAAAGTGCCTCTCTGCGGTAGATGCAGGAATGTCTACTATCAGTGTGCAGTCTTTGCTCTAATATTCTATCTTAAGATCCCTTCTTTTACGTTTATAAAATAGTCTGTCGCTCCACAGAGAAGATCCTGCAGCAGGGAATGTGTCCTAATAAACGAAAGCAGTTTTTGGTCCAAATGTTAAGGCTTTTCAGTCGCTGTACACAGACACCCGCGGACCTGTCCCTCTGTGAAGCGGCTGATCAGGTGATCTCAGGCCTCAAATAAGGAAGGGCATCTGTGAAAGAGAATGGAGAAAGCAAGTGTTAAAGTATTCCCTGTGCGAAAGAAATATTAGGTGGAAAGATGATAAAAGAGATATATGGCTGCCATAAATTCTGGGCATGTGTTTTAGTTCCGCTGACATGTGGCTGTTGTTAGCATAGCATCTGACAAATTTGATTTGGAGGGGAAGGTCAGAGCAGGGTGATGGAAGAGGGAAAAATAGACAGGACAGCACCTTGCATAAAGTATTCACATCCACGTTTTGCTAAGTTACACCCAGAACCTTCAATGTATTTTATTTGGGTTTTACATGACACACCAACACAAAGCAGTTCAAAAAGTGGAGCTAAAACAACACAAAGGACTAAATAGAAACACAAGCCTCACTTTTCAATTCTATATTTGTACAAATGTTTGGAAACCATGTAACCTTTTTTCCCCACTTCACACATTTGAGCTGTTTTTGCCGAAAATTTGTGTTTAGAATTAAAGTTTGTGGTTATAATTAAAGCATCAACTATGAGGAACTTCAAACAGTGTGAAAACTGTTTCAGATACAGGTTGGGTTCGTTTTATGTAGAATAAATAAATTAAATATTAAATTTAATGCATCATCATTTATTAATCCTGGCGCATATATTTAAATTCTACTAATAGAATACAGTAATTAGGTTATTCAGTAAGGGCTGCGCGAGGCCACACATGTGGCAGAAGACATAAAGTATGTAGCAAACCTGTTGCTGGTTTTTCCAACACTGAAAGCAATAGCGATGTCCAATAACACCAGACCTCATATACATGACTGAAACGTCATTGATTTAATCTGTATGCCAATTTTTCATTACTTTTCCATATTATGCAATACAGTGCTATGTTTTCTCTAATGTTTCCATCTTGTAAAGTACTTTGACGTTTGTATAGCTGAAATATGCACTACAAACTAGTTTGGTGGAAATGTTCATCTGTACATTCAAAATATTTGATACTAAGTTCAATTCTACAGTTTGTATGAATACATAGAAAACTGTCTGCTAATTTGTTCAGGTCCAGGTTTTGTTTTTATAATTTTATTAGAACAAAATATTGACTGATTTATTTAATGTAATAAAATACACATATACCTCATGAGTTGTAGAAGAGATGTCTCAAATGACTGGTTCGAAAATCTTGTTTGATAATTTGGGTCATTGCTTTATGAAAATTGCACAACTTCACAAATTAAGCAAAGACAAAATATCTAATGATGCCCTGACAGGAAGGTAACCTTTTCAAAAGACTCACTGTTGAGGAAAAAAAGGACATCTCCTTGGCAACAGTGACATTGCCCGACTAAAAACAAACGAGTGTTTCATGGATTGCCGCTGTGTTTTCCATGAGGCAGTCCGGTGAGAGCTCAGTTATGGTCCAGTTTCTGACGGAGTATTGGAACCTGGAGCGGCGCTGCTTCCCCAGCTGACCTCAGTACGACCACCTGTTTCCAATAGTCGACCTGCCAGAGGCTGTTAGGATCTGTCCACCCCCAGAAAAGACCTTTTCCAACGCAGCTCCAAACCCAGCCGCGCACCAGCTATCCAGTCGCACTGATTAATCACATCAAGATGGACCGTTCACCCATGCAACGCTGCGGAGAAGTGTGCGAGTGTGTGTGCTGTCCGTTAAGCACACACGGCCACACTTTCATTCTCTTTCTTCTGTCCACATTAAGATATCTGACCGAGATATTTCATTAGACGTTTGCTGTTCTCGGATATTAAGTTAGTTATTCATTTGATACCTGCAGCCACATGGAGGCAGGCGGAGGCAGGCGGAGGCAAGCTCCCCGCTCTCTTTGAAGGTCCCGGTTCTGTTGAGGTTGCTATGGGGTCAGTGGATGAACCTGATTGGCCAACCCCCTGCGGACCACAATTGGAAACGCCGGCCGTTGTAATCATACTGTGACGGAGAGTGACGTTGTCCTTCGAAGTTAGACGGAGGCATGTTTGAAGTTGATTTGAGTCCTTTAGCATGTGGGTAATGTGATGTGAGGGAGCCTCTGGCTGCAGAGATTCCCTAGGGGGAAACGCTCTGAGGGGGGCCAGCAGACAGAGCTGCTGCCTCGCTTCACCCTGATGGGAGCTGACTCTGCCGTGTAACCGAGCATGGAGCTCACTAACAGCGCCGGGACGTTTACAGCTTATATTGAATCAGCTCTGCACAATTAACCCCAACACTTGAGAGCACATGACAGAGCGGAGGAAGAGGGACAGGCAGCGCGGTGGATGGAGACGTTAGAACTGAGGCACATGATCACAGACTCCTCTGGCTGGTTTGCTTCAAATATTTTATTTTCAAGAGCTGCAGATTCCAGCAGAAAGCTGGACCAGAGCATCATAAAAACACAAAAAATTGGCTAAATATTGACGTTGTTACATAATCCCTGAGGACTGAGAAAAGTACTTTGTTAATTTATGTTTGTGGAAACACAAACATAAATTAGATCGATTGTAGTTTGTAGTTTGTATATTCAAGACATCAAAATTCACCATTCACTGCAGTAACTGGTCTACAAAAAATAAATCTGATTAAAAATGAAACAGTGTATGTTATTATGGCACTGCGTACATTTTGTCATTGGTTCTGCTTTCTCCATGTAAATTTCAATAAAATTAGGCTACATTTCATGTACTTAATCAACATGGATGGAAAGAACTAAGCGCAGCATTCATTTCGACCTAATTTAATTTAGCTGTTAAATTAGCATGTTTACTATAAATAAATATACAAGTTTGGCATACAATTTTACCAAGCTTTGTTTTACTTTCATATTTCTAAAAGTTACATTTCAGTCTTTTGTAGAAGAAAAAGAGGAAATAATCTGATCATCAAACAAAACCAAGTCTGATTTTGGTTGAAGAAGTTGTGATTTTCTCCAATAAACTAGACTACAGAAGGAAAATTAAAAATCTGCTTTTATCAGTTTACAATTTTCAGATTCGCCATGGAACAAAGTGATTCAAGCATTGGCCTAAACAAAGAACTCAACAGGTTTAATTTTTACTTTTTATTGCTTTTGAAGAAGTTAAGCTTCTTTTCCTCGCCAGAAGGATTTTAAGGTTTGCAGAGTTTTCTGTTCCTCCTCACAGGAACGTCAGTTAACATCTGTCACTGAAACTGATATCTTGCTTCAAATATTTTATTTTATTTTAAGAAAGAAGCATTCTTGAAGTAGTCCTTATATTGCATTATGAAAGCTGGATTTGTGATTGTTTTATGTATTTCCACAAACTTACAAGGAACAAGAACTGCATCATATCAGGGAATCTTGTAATTGATAATTTATTGCTGAATATTGCAAAGGAAAAACTGATTATAATTAGCCCACTTTTCTTGACACATATTGATATTGCAATAAAAAATGCTAACTGTAAAATTGCATAGGACTGGATGAAAAAATAAGTTTTTAATACAACCAAATTAGTCAATTAAAATTCATTATATACTAATGATTCACCTAAGTAGAAAATAAATAATTTCTCCACATTTTTTAATCCATGTTTCATTTTTCTTCTGCTTCACAAGAATCAATTACTTTGTGTTAGTTTATCACATAAATTTCCAACCTGAATACAGGATTCTTATATCAGTACTTTAAGGCAAACTTTGCTTGCATCTTTTTTCCTCTTTCTTTTTTTTTTTTTTTACACATCAATGAATGTACAAGAAAATCTTCTAATATGTTGATTATGTATTTATTTGAATTTGCCAGTGCAGATGTCAAGGTATGTAGAGTTAAAAAAGGGGACGTTTATTGACCTTACTTTGCCCGTACTGGCTGTACTGGTAGGACGCGACGTGGTCCACAGTGTAGCCTGGTGAACTGTAGGACAGGTGTGGACTGGAACTGGGGCAGTGCTGACATGGAGGGAACACTGGAGAGACCCTCAAGACCCTTGATGTGGTCCATGCGTTGGCTGCAGCTGGCGGCCATGCCACTGGGGGGCTCCAGGCCGCCTGTCAGGGGGGAGATGGCGTAGTCGCTTTGGGGCTGGTGTGGCACGCCGCCTGGGTTCAGCAGACCCATCACCTGATTTACAGAGAGAACAATATTACGAGACATAAAGAAATAAACTGCTTTTTTTTTTACTGGTTTTGATGGTTCTGATACACTTAATATATTTATTTCTAAATATATAAGCACAGACGTGAACGGACGTATCATAAGCACTTGGATACACAAAGGAAATCCCCCCGCTGAGGACATCAAAAGACACCCAGTGAGTCAGTTCCAGACAGAGATCGCACTAGAGAGGAGGAATTAAACAATTTGTCTCTGATCCATGGCTCCACTTATTCTAACATTCCTTTTTGACACTGCTCCAAAAAGCCGTGGCACAAGATAGGGACTTATCTCTCAGAGAGATACGCTAGGAGAGATAAGACAAAAGCAAAGATCTGTGTGACCTGGGCTTTGTTAAACCAAAGAATAGATTTGCAGTTTGGAGAAATGCTTTAGCTCTTGACCTGGTCTTTATTAGCAAGCAGATAATCAAATTTAAGGAACCAGTCCTTGGCCCGCAAAGGACGGAAAATAGCCGTGGGTCAGAGCATTACAGCTGCTTCAAAACAGACCTGAAAAACCACCAATGACCCAGTGTCACTTATCGAATATACCTGTCCTTCATTAAGGCGCTCTGTGTACCATTATTAAGGAAGTGAGACCAACTCTGTCTTATTTAAAACTGAATCTGCTACCTTCAAATGTAAAATATCCCACCTTTTTCTAGCAAAGCAAAGGCCTCCAGGCTGACCTAATGAGAAGCAGGTACGCTGCTCTTTGCGTCCTCTCAGCCCCTCTAAGTGACACATTATTCAACATCCACACACACACATGGTCCTGCTTAAATCATTTCCCTAGCAGGGGAGGTGAGTGGAGCAGTTCATGTTGATTTTGAGAGCAGAGTTGTGTTTCCTCCCATGCCTGCTAACATTTTCCTTAAAAATTACCAAAATTTTGAAGGGTTTGTTTAAGCAAAAAGCCAGCAGGAAAAGTGCTACTTAAAACGATGGGTGCTTGTATGCTGCCTTTCGATTTATCTTTCTCTGGCTACACCCGTACCCATCATGCCATTCTACCTGTGAGCCTCGATCTCTCTCTCTCCCAACATTCAGGGTGTTTCGTTTTGGAACGATGCCGTTGCCAGCGGCCTAAATCGACACAGCTTAGCAGGGAAGAATGTCGGTATGGAGGGGGAAAATATCGGAGACAGGATATTCCTTCTTTGCTGTATGAAACATATACAAATAAATTAGAACTTTCTGCTTTCACGAGGAAAAATGCTGAGGCAAAAATTCTAAGAATGCCATCAGGAGAACTTTCCCTTGAGGCTGCAGAAAATGTTCAGCTGTTTGTCCATTCACAACATGGCCTTCAAGCTCTTACAGTGCCTTGAATGTTTTATACTTACGGTTGTCAGATTACACACCGCAAGCTAATGCTCCGATGTATTTTCTTGAGATTATGTGTCATCAATACCAACAAAATAGTAGTTAATTGTGAAGTGGAAGGAAAATGGTCCATAGCGTTGTCCATTTGGAGTATTTTTCTGTCTCCTTCAGCTCGTTTGTAGAATTGTCTTTGCTCATGTTTTCACTACTTCCAACAGGTGTTTTTTAAGGCACTGAAAATGCTGAATAAACATTTCTGAACAAGCAGAAATACATGGAAACAAACTACTTTTTAAACTAATCTATTCATGTATGATTGGTTTTATTTGTAAAAACATTTGAAATCCATGTTTTGATACCTCGTAACAATTATGCACTGCTTTTTTGTAATCGAAAATCCAGCAAAAAAATTTTGAAGCTTGAGGGAAAATTAACGTATGTAGATACTTTTCCAATGAAGAGGAGAATATTTTATAAGCATGCAGAAACACTCACATTATCAAATCTTTGAACAAAATTTGCTTGACTTGTTGGCATATTAAAAAAAACAGTAGTCTGTTGCTGAAAAGTAGTCTCAGCCGTGGCGCTCAACCATGTCGTGTATTATTTGTGTTAGAGATGTTGTGAAATCCTTAACGGATCCTGTGACTGTTATGGAGATGATCAATTATCCCCAGAATGTGGATGTTTGTCCTTGTAACTATGCCGCACTGCATGAGTGTGTCGCTGTCCTCAAACTCTGTGGAGTCAGACCGCGCCGAGCTGAAATCTCATTTTCTGCCTGTTAGGGTCCCAACCTCTCTGCCTTCTCTGCTGCCCCCCTCGTCTAGGTGCCGAGACCTTGGGACTTCATGCCTGGATAATTGACTGTAATTGTCTTTTCAGTTCTCATTTGTCACACACTGATTTGTCCTCTATCCTATAAGAGTCATTGTACTTTTCTCCTCCACAGGGGAAGTGCTAATCCGTCACTGAGTTCAGGACTTACTCTGCTAACTTGTTGTGTGACACCATCACAAGTCCGGAAAAACACCCAACATAAATCTTTTATGTGCTTTCAACCTCAGATTATTCTTTAAAACTATTGAGCAAGACATTTTTCGTTTTATGACATGAAGCAGCTCACACATATTTGTACCTGGTGTCTCACCTGTGGAGAGAGGCCGTTTCCTATTGCGGAGTTCATGTGATTCGTCGGCCCTCCTGGGCTCACGAAGTTGTCCGAGTAGCCTGAGAAGGAGTGGCGTCCGGAGGCGAGGCAGTAGGCAGAGCTAGCATCTGCCTGCCCTCCACCAGCGGAGGCCTGATGGCCAGAGGAAGGAGGCAGGGGCTGGGGACGGTGCACCGTGCTGGGAGGCTCAGACACTGCAATCAGAGAATAACTGTAAGGATTTTGGAAAAACATGCACTTTCTTGTCTATCTTGCTAATTAAAACAGTGCAGATAAAAAATATATAACACAGCTTCAAAATTAAATAAAGATGCAATGACGCAGCAGCAGCTCTTCAGAACAGTTTTCAGTAGTCCAGACTGCCACAGGATCTGAGAGATTAGTCAGGTGTCTACAGGGAGCCCAAAGGATATTAAAAAGAAAACGTTTTCCCCAGCTGCAGTCTGGCCACTGTTCTGGCATCCCATAATGCCACGCAGCAGACATATGAGAGGCTACGTTCACAAAACAGGCAAATTCAGCCCAAATACGCTTTTTTTGCCCGTATGCAACCCATATCCGTCCAATCTGACCAGCTCAATTCAGATTTTTTCACTCAAAAAAAACCTGACTTCAGCCACTTCCATATGTGGTACTAAATTCAATACGTACATAGTTTTCAAAGTGTCTGCAGTCTGAACAGTCAACTCACATTTCATCCGACTTTTATGTTATTGAGACATGTCACAATTCTGCTTCTGAAGAAGCCAGACGCAGTGAATCTAGAAGTTAACACTGGTTGAAAATTATAATTATGAAAATTTCATTCAAGTAAATCACATCACAAATAGACATCTCAACATACGTTGCAGTCAATACTAGGCCTGCCAAGATAACAAATTTTACTGGATGAGAAATTGTTCCTGACATTCTTGCAATAAGCTATAATATTGTTTTGATCCATTTTCAGACAATATATTGAATATAGCATTGTAATGCTAGTTTGCCCTCTCAAAGACCAATAAATTATAATTTTGGAAATAACCCACATAATACTGGAACTGGACGACATTTTAAATATCCAGAATAAAACATAACCAAAAAAATAAATTAAACAATTTTTTTTGTAATGAATTACCACATAAATTATGGTTTCACACAACTGTAAACATAAACTAAATGGATTATGACAAAATCCATTTCTGCAAACAAAATTGCTCTTCAAAAACTATTAATTATCAGAATGGAAATTATTGAGCTTGTTTTAATTTATTGTGTGATTAATTGATTAATTGCTGATTTGTCAATCATTACTTGTCAATACTACTCAAAAAGTCATCGATATTAGTTATTAGTCTTTTTATTAGCCTCTTTCAACTTGTTATAATATTGTAACAATACTTTTGCTAAGAAAACTGTTCAAATTCAACAATATTTTTGCACATTTTAGAAAGGCAAAAAACTGACACTGCATATCACCCTGAACACAACATCCACATGGGCTACATGCAGCATCATACAAATTCTAAAACACTATAAAAAACTGTCATTATTTTGTGTTGGTCTATAAGAACCACAAATTATGAAAAAGTTTATGGAGTGTGAAACTTTACACAAAAATCAAAAGCCAGTGATTGTTAACAGTTGTCCCGTACCCTGTGCTATAGATGACGGCGAGTACGTGCTGTCAGAGAGCTGGTACGGCGGGATGCTGGACATGGCTGTGGGGGGGAATCCACCTGGGATCAGGTGGTTGAATGCCATCAGCTGATTGGCTCCAGCTTGCTTCCTCCACCGCGCTCGCCTGTTGCTGAACCATACCTGGAAAGGACGGGCAGTTATTTCACTTATATTTGAGTTTTATTTGCTGCTGAGTGTGTAATCCTTTCATACTTGTCAGAGAGAGAAGTTGAAAGAGAAAATGTTAGACAGTGTGAGAGAGAAAGAGTGTATCATGGCTGGCTGCACTGACTGACATGCTGAGCCCATATGGGTGTAGCTCCTGCTGGGCCTGTTTATGTTTCCCATATGGAGCCTGTGGAGGAGAATTTTCTGGACCCTAGATCATAAATAGGAAGGTCCAGATTGGGCCCCTGAGACATCGGGACCAGAACCTGACTGTGATTTAATGTGATGGAGCACATAGATGTGATGTGATGGAGCGCAGCAGGTTGTCCTTAAATGCTGAGTAAATAAAGCCACATTGTCTGAATGTCTGTGAGAGGGATGCCTGCCATCAACAAGTGTGCGTTGGTGCTAAAAATTGGAGATATATTTGCAATCTATGGGTTTATACTAGAAATATTCATATACATTTTATGACTTCTGAGTTTAGATGTGTCTTACTGTCCCAGAAATAGCTAGAAAAGTTCCTACCTGTACCCTGGCTTCAGTGAGCTTGGCCCTCTGAGCCAGCTCCTCCCTGGTGTAGATGTCTGGGTAGTGGGTTCTCTCAAAGGCCCTCTCCAGCTCCTCCAGCTGCTCGGCTGTGAAGGTGGTTCGACTGCGCCGCTGTTTCCTCTTCAGTGGCAAATCTGGTTCTGACTCCACGTCCGAGCCTTCGTCTGAGTGACTCGCTGTTCAGGAGAGAGGAAAACAGGGATTATTTCTTAAATATCGGATGTTTAATGAGCAGAAGCTTCTGAACTGGTCCCACATTTAGTGCTCCTCACTTCAAAAAATAAATAAATAAAATAAAAAAAACATTTCAATATGCATTCACTCTCGCTTTTGGTAGTTGGGACTTAAAACTAATCTCGTGCAATAAAAAAATAATTTGTTCTGTATTACACACATGCACACACACTTGATAAAAATACTGTATATTTCCACCTCAAGTAATGTCAGCACAACAGGTGGACTGAATACCTTACAAAAAGACAAATTATTTAAATCCTGTAGCTATACAGGAATAAAACTGTGATTTAAATATTTAGGGGTTTATGATCTAAAGCCTTTATCTTTCAGAAAGATATAGGCTCTTGTTTTAAAGAAATAATTTCTTAATATTGATGAAAAAGTACTGGTTCTATTGGCAGATTATTTGACATAAGGAACACATCTTATATTCCATGTCCTATGTTAATCTTGTCAGATTAACATAGGACATGGATTGGCCGTGACTTGGCTTGGTCCAGCGATGATAGGTCGTCGTTGATTAGTGGGATGCGCCGATTGGATGATGCAGGTGGGGCTAAAGAGTCTTCCAGTTTGAATTTACGCCTAGGCTTCATGACCGCTGTTACATTTATTTTATTTTTTACCAAAACAAAAACTTTATACCAAATTTTAAAACAAAAGATTGTCACTAAACAGAACTTCTAATTTATGGATGATTAAAAAAATAATAATTATCAGATGCAATATAACCTGAGGTTTGGTGATGTAATGTGCTTTAGCAGCTTTTGTGTTTTGTTTCTTTTCATTTCTGCCTCAGATCTGTGTTAACACTATTGTGAGATCTTCTCTGTAATCCAGCAGTTTGGTTTTTAACTACTTCAAACACTCCATTGGCTTCCTTCTCAGCTCACTGTGGCCAAAGCGCCCACTTTTTGTGCTACACTTAATTAATTCCCCCTCAGCACAGGGGAAGTTTTGTGTGCAACACTGTATTAGTTCCCCCCTTGGAAGTGACAATAAAATACAAGAGAATCCAAATAGCTCGGGGCCCCTCATGTGAAACTGATCCTCTCTTCCCCTTTGGCGATTTTCTCCTCACAACACCAAAAGCTGTGGGAGTCAACTTAACTTGTATTAGGAGCAAATTGGTAAAGAAACTTTCCAAGCATGAGCGGTCCAATACATAAAATATTTTTGAGGTGGGAAGGGGGACAAAATTGAGACATTGGCTTAAGCCTCCTGCAGGATGTTTTTGTTGTGGTTTTAGCTGTGTTGTGCTGCTTGAACATGCCGGCATTTTAACAGGAAGGACAAATGAGCAGCGTCTCCAACAGGTGCAAAGAAAAGACAATTTGAAATCGCTGCAGCGGTTTAGGGTTTCCTCTGTACACTATCAGCTGTTTCTGGATCTGTTTCAGATGTGGTCATCACAGAGCGCCTTTAAAACCTCTGATGTGTGGGGGCCACATTTTTCCTCGACTTCTGAGTAACTGGGCTTTGTGCTTTAGATGGTGAGGAAGGAATTCGGGGTGTGGAGTTTTGGACAGGACGACCGAAAAACAAGAGATGAGGCCTTTTGAAGCCTCCCCCTCCAGTTCCTGCATAGAGGAAGGCCGCAAGGAATGTCCACCCTGTCCTACTCCTCCTCCTCCCCCAATCCCACCCCAGCATGCACGTCCCTCAGCATTTCACAGGGATTTGGGCCTTGGGAAAGCCGAGGCAGCCCAGGAAAATCCTTAATCACTTTGGAATTACCCATTTGGTTATGACAGCTACCGGGGTTTCTAGAACTTTTCAAAAGAAGCGACAGAGTGGCACCTCTCAAGTCTTGGGAGACTAGCAGTGATAAAGTGCTTTAGGGAGAACCAAAGCAGGCTCATTAGTTTCATTTCACTTGACTTTGGATTGCTGCATCATGTGATGTCAAGAGGCAGTATTTATACAAGAGACTGAGCTGAAACGAAAACGATCTGTGGCAGGAAGCCGAGCAGCAGACACAACAAATACTGCAAAACAAACAGAAAAAGAATCGGAGCAGTATCACATTCACCGGACAAACACTTTATGTGCTTTGGCGCACAACCCTCCTTAAACAAGCACCACCTTCTCCTCCCTTATTCTCCCCCTCCTTGTCACCCTGTCTTTGTCCCCCCTCAATCTCCCTCTTTCCACCCATATTTCTCTCTCCGACTCTCGGGCTCTTTGTTGCTCCACAGAGCCGAGGTCTTTGCCGTCGATTTCCACGCTCCATCTGTGGAATCCGTCATGGCTCCCTCAGCCCTTCACAGTGGAGGCCTGTCACCTGCCCCATGGGGGAGCCTGGGAGGTGTTGGAGGGGGTTCGGGGGAGAGACATAAAGAGGCTTCGCAAAGAGGGTTGGGGTGGGGTAGATGGGGGCATAGCCTGGGGCATTGAAACCCCTGCCTTACTGCCCCCCACCCCACCCAGAAAAGAGAAAATTCTCTGCTAGTAAAGGGAACAGTAAGAGCACCTGAGGGGCAGGGGGTGGGGGGTTGTTGGGTAAGAGGGGGTGTTGTTATGGTTGTAAATGTACCCATGAGGATAGACTGTCAGGGCATCTGTGTTGGTTTTAGTCGAGCATTTAGACACTAAATAGGGAGAAGCTATACATTGCGTATTTTCTTTAAAAATTCCAAATATTTATCTTTCAGTGTTAAAATAAAACATTGGTACATGTTAGCTTAAATGTGCATTAATACCCCTTGAGTCTTTCCTAATTTTTGTCACATTACACCAACTAACTCCTGTGCTTTTCATTGAAATTTTGCGATAATATTTATGTGAGAAAATTAAAGAGTGACATTTCTATTTAGCTCCATTCAGTTCATTTTCTTTAGGAGCAATTTTGGCTGCAATTGCTAAGACAGAAAAAAATCATCTGTTAAACAGTGCTCCAGAAATAAACATAGAATCAAACAAAAAAAAATCTAATTTTTTCATGAGAACAAAAAAAACAGCTTAAGCCCACACATAACAAGTAATTCTAAATATTCAGAATTTTCAACACCCTAAATGCCAATTAAAAAATACAGAAAATATTTTTTGCATCATAATGACAAATACATAAAATAAAAGCAACTGCATTTGAATGGGAGTCAAAAACTACAAAAAATACTGCACGGACAAAGGTCGACATTAGTTCAAATGGCCCATGAAGGAAATTAAGAAAACACACCAAAAATACACATCTTTCACAGAGTTTGTGCAATTTCAATAAACACAGTGAAAGTAAAACTAAAATGTAATTTGACAAACTCTAGGTTACAAAATAGCTGATGCTCAGTAAGATTGGACTGAGAACATCTGTGAACATCTTCAATGCAGTCTTGTCACTGACTTTCAAATGTGATGGAATTAGATCTGGTAGTTGACTGATCCAGTCTGATACATAAAAATGCATTTATAAGGCTTTCCATTACAACTTTGGATGCATGACATGAATATGAAGTTGGTTCTTTGCCCCAGTTTCAGGTCTTTCAGGCCACCTGCAGGTTTTTTCCCCAGGATTGCTCTTTATTTCCTCTATCTACATTCCAGTCAATTCTGAACAGATTCTCCCTTCCTACTGAAGGAAAGCATCGATGCAGCATGATGCTGCCACCGTCATGCTACACTAAAGGAACTATGTATTCAGTACGATATGAATGACTAGCTTTAAACCACACATTGTGCTGAATATTATGATTAGCTATAAGGCTCAACATAATGCCAAAGCCACAACCAAAGATAGAATGGGAATTTATGCTCAATCAAAATTAACACTAAAGAGGAATGTATGCTAAAACAGAATTTATGCTAAATGAATTTATGCAAAACTGAATTTATGCAAAAAAATAAATCTTTTTTGCAAAAACTAAATTTATGTTAAGACGGAAGCAATGCTTTGTGTCTTAAACATAATTTATGCTAATTCTGAAAATAAGCTATATGGAATTCATGCTAATACAGAGAATGTATACTAAATCTCTATTTATGCTAAACAAATTTTGCTAAAACAGAATTTATACTAAAGTGAAATTTATATCAAACAATTCCTGGAAAATGGAATTTATGCTAAACAGAGGTTATGACAAATGTCATTTTGATCAAAAGGAGTTGATATTAATATAGAATTCCTGCTAAAAAGAAGTTTATGCAAAAATGGTAGTTATGATAAACTTGCAAGCACAATTTCTGCAAACCTTCTGTTGTGGCTTTAGTTCTTGTTATGCGGCTTTTGCATTTTGTTGACTCTTTTGGGCCATTGGAAATTACAAACAACACATTTTAAATTATAATTTGTAAAATAATTGTGCCTTCGCGATTATTCATCACTTGATGTTGGTTTATCACTATGAAAATTTTGGTTGTACCTTATGAAAACTATAGGAATAGCCAACCTAAAAGTTTGAAGTTCTCTACAATTTGCTTAAACGGGTAAAAAACACAAGGAGTGCAATACTCCACATCTATTTCGCAATACAGCATGCAACAGTTTCCCCCTCATCCTGCATGCACTTTAGGGCTATGGTAATCATGTCAGCCCTGAGGCTTCTGCTATCAATTAAGTCTTTCCCTTTTGAACACATCTTTACTTTTATTGATAATGGAATGTGCTGCTGAATCAGCAACAGTACATTAGCCTGCTTACTCCAATATGGAGGGGATGACGTTTAGCTAAAGAAATTGTGGTGAAAGCTTTTCTAACTTCTGGTTTCACAGAGGCCTGTACGCCATCATCGCCTCGCTATCCCCGAGATCTTATTGTATCACTTTGGCACTGCCACATAGCCATTGACAATCAAATTATCCACTCTATAGTGGATAGTTTATATCACTATAGTTTATATCACTTCCTGCATGTTTATACACCTAAATCTTAAAATGCTGTATTTACACAGCTGAGTACGAAAGGGCCTGGAGAGCCGGCCCGGGTGAGCTGCTGAGCATTAAGCTG